ATGTTTGCGCCGCACTTCGGACGCAGCGCTCCGCGCCTGGCCCTGAGAGTCGCTCTGCAGCCGCTGGGGCTGCTGGCATTGCTGAAGCTGTGCCTGGCGACCTGGGCTGACTGTCCTTGCCGAGAACCTGAGCTCTGCCGCCAGATTCGACCCCACCCGGACTTTGAGGTCAGAGCCTCTCCCCTGCCATCGCGGTCTGGTCCTCATGGCTGGAGAGAAGTTAGAACGGAACCGGGCCCTACCAACAGGGGTTGAGGTGCTAACACCAACTATGATCGCTTGCTGTGGGCCTTCCTGTTTACAGATTTTCTTCCGTTTGTAAATGGGGAAACTACCAGCTGGGAGAGGCTGAGTAACTCCCCCCACGCCTTCCGGGCTAAAGTGCCTGCCTCTGCTGGCCAGATTCAAACCTACCTGTCTCTGAAGGCCAGCTCGTTTTTATCTTGACCTGCCTCCTCTCCAGGAGTAATCTGGGTGTAAAACGCAAAGAAGGTGGGATAATTGAGGACTGTGTGTGAAAGAGAATGTTTATTTTACCTTTTAAAAAGTGTAGCTAGTAGCCATGTCCTTTTTGGTGCCTGAGAACCACCAAGAAAGGTGGTAAAAATAGGTCTTTCAGTACATTTTCCTCCTACCCAAACTAACAGTTTATAAGGCTTCTGGCACCTTAACCAAAACACCCCTTTTGAAGCTATATTAGGGCACCTAGTTGAAGTTTAATAACTGCAGCGGGAATCGGATGAAGTCAGGGAGGTCAGGTTTAGTTCAAAGAACAATTCTTTTGTAGAAATAGGAACAATTCCTGGTTCTTAATGTAGATTAATTTGGAGGCAGGGCTCACAAGTACACATTGTTTAGGAGAAGAAATAAAAGTGGTGAGAGTTCTGGTAGCTACTCAGTGTGGAAATCTGCTTTTTAAAAACTTCAGACCAATAAAAGTTTATTTGAGAAAAGAACAATTCATGATAACCGTCAAGACTCAAATCACAAGCAACTCCCAGAGATCCAAAAACAGTAGTGGGCTTCTATAGACTGAACTGCAAAGCAAAGAGATGGGTTGGCTGTGGTTAGGTGTTTGCCTCATTTGGGTAAGTCCTGGAGCAAAGTCCCTCCTAGAGGTTAGTTGGTGGTTTGACTGGTTGAGTTTTGTCTTAACTGTTTACATTGGGTTGCACTTTGGTTAAGTGGGAATCCAGAGCCCTGGAGCTGTTTCAATCTAATTGTCTCTCAAATAAAGTGTTTTAGGTCCTGGGATTTAACTCAGCGATTTGGTGACCTGCCTTATAAGTGCAAGGACCCGAGTTCAATCCCCACTACCACAAAAAAAAAAATTTTTTTTTTAAACTATCTGAAAGATTTATTGTAGAATCCAATACGTGGTGGATTATGTAGTTTTTATGGGCATTGTGAAAGACAGTGAAGCAGAATTACGTTTATAATGGTATGTAAATAAGTCCTTTTCTCTACTAGCTTTTTCTGTATTTAAAAAGTATGTGTGTGTGTGTGTGTA